GCCCGGCCCGGCCCGGCCCGACCCGACCGCGCTGTGCTCCGCAGGTTCGACAACTACTCTGCCAACGTCATGGTGGACGGGAAGCCGGTGAACCTGGGGCTGTGGGACACGGCCGGGCAGGAGGACTACGACCGGCTGCGGCCCCTCTCCTACCCCCAGACCGTGAGTGCGCGCCTGGGGCTGGGTCGCTCCTGATTCCTGCAGGGGCACCGCAGTGTTCACGGGGGCTGCAGCCGCGAGCCCTGCCTGCCGGCCGTGGCCGTGGCCATGGCCATGGCCGTGGCCGTGCCCCGGCTGTGCAGGGCGTTCCCCTGGCTCTGGCCTGGCTGCCGGGGCGGGGAGCTGCGCTGCACCTGGCGCTTGGGGCAGGAGGCGCAGCACGGTGCCCTCGGATCCACACCCGGGCAATGCTGCACACCCACGGCTGGTCCCTCTGAGTTATTCTGAGCCCTTTAGCGGGTGAGGGGTGTCTCACCACCTGCGCTCCTTGCGGCTGCTGTCTGAATCCTGCCTGTCCCCCCCGCAGGACGTGTTCTTGATCTGCTTCTCCCTGGTGAGCCCGGCCTCCTTCGAGAACGTCCGTGCCAAGGTAACGCGCTGCCCATTGGGGTCGGGGAGGAGCCAGCATGGACCCCGGCCCGGGGAGGCAGGGCTGGACCCAGGGCTCACAGGCGTGCGCGTGGGCCGTGATCAGTGCCGCCAGCACAAGCTTGTCCCCTCCTCACCTTTGCAAAAGGCAGCAGCTGGGGAGGGTCCTGGCCTGCCCTGCACCCTGCGATGTGCCCGCTGGAGCCTATGCCCTTGGCCCAAGGAAGCTGGGGGGCTTTGCATGCAGGCAGGTGCCCCAGCTATTGCCAGTGCCCTGCGTGGGCTCCCCCTGCATCTCCACCGGCACCAGTCCTGAAGATCAGCGCATCCCCTGCGCTGTCTGCCACTGGCACCCCCAGCCCCGTAGCATCCTTGTGGCTGCTTCTGCCATATCTCACTGGGCCCTCCTGTTTCAGTGGTACCCAGAGGTCCGGCACCACTGCCCCAACACACCCATCATCCTGGTGGGCACCAAGCTGGACTTGCGGGATGACAAGGACACCATCGAGCGGCTGCGGGATAAGAAGCTGGCCCCTATCACCTACCCTCAGGGCTTGGCCATGGCGCGGGAGATCGGTATGTCGGGGGCACCTCGTGCAGAGGTGGGGGCAGGGGTGGCACAGGGCCCTGGCTGAGCGTGCAGTTGAGCTGGAGCTCTCTGCTTGCAGGGTCAGTGAAGTACCTGGAGTGCTCGGCCCTGACGCAGCGGGGCCTGAAGACAGTGTTTGATGAGGCCATTCGTGCCGTGCTCTGCCCGCCACCCGTCAAGAAGCCTGGCAAGAAGTGCACGGTGTTCTGAGGGTGCGGCGCGGCCTTGCCTGGCCCAGCCGCAGGGGCTGCAATGTGCAGGGCCCTTCATCATGTATGAAGTCAGTGTTTTTTAATGTCTCTTGAGTTAACGTCAGTGTTGATGTGAAGGGGCAGTGGGGGCAGGAAGTGAGCAGGGGGGCGGCGCAGCCCCTGGCAGGTGGGCAGGGCAGCTCCCTGGGCCACGGGGCTCTCTGACTCCATGCCCGGGAGGGGCTGAGACACCCGCTTCCCAGGAGAAGCACCACCTGGGGAGCGGGGCTTCTTCCCCCAGCCCACCGTGGCTGGTCCTTGCCAGGCTGGTGCAAGAGGTGAGATGTGCCAACTGCAGTGGTGGGAACCCAGCGACTGCCCTGGGCAGGGCGAGGACAGATGGGAGCCCAGAGGCTGGAGAACGAGCTATGAGGTGCTTTATTGGGTGCTACACGCTAGCGGGACTAAGCGAAACAGCCCCGCACCATCCACCGGGCGCAGACACCACGGGATGCTCCACAAGGCCTGCCTCCTGCGCCCACCCAGTCTCTGCAGGGCAGGGCTGAGGTTGGAGCC